TCCTGCAGCTCTGTCTGAAGGAACTGTCTGTGCTGACAGAAATGTGCAGTCTCTGCTCAGCTGCTTGCCACATGTGGCACATGGAGGGAAAAGAGGAAAAGGGATGGCAGGGTAGCCACCCATCATTGGGGGGTGCTTTCTCATTTCCCCTCTCTCTGTCTCCCTCCTGTGAGCGCAGACATCCTTGGGCAGACTACACAGCATCTGCCCCATCTGCTGTTCTGCCTGTTAGAAACCACATCATTGTCCCTTACACTGCATCCCTAGCATCCAGCATAGAGCCTGGCACAGAGTAGGCCACTGGGACCCTTCGTTGCCTGAGTGAGTCCTCCTAACAGTAAAATCAAGTTTGAGAAGTGTTTGAGCAAGACCTATGCTCCTCTCCAGGCTCACATCAGAACCTGAAGAGGGTCTTAGAGAACGCGAGCAGTCCGAGAGAGCCTGCCAAAAAGTAAGAGAGGAAGAGACTATGATGGGAAATCTTTTCTTCAAGATTATTAAGGAAAAATGAGAGGGAAAGGTTCATTCCTTTGGCACAGATTATTAGGTTGATTGCTGTTTAAAAACAAGTACGAGTGAAGGGGTGGGGAAGGCTGGCAATACATTTGCCAGCTAAAGAAGGCAGAGTGAGGGCCAGCAGGTGGCGTGGTGGTTAAGGCATTGGACACTCCCACATGGCTGGCCAGGGTTCAAGTCCCAGACCTAATGGCTTGCTTTCTCACTTCCCTCCTTTTCTCTCTCTCTCTGTGTCTCTCTCTCTGTAAACTCCAAAAAACTATAAGAGCTGCATAGGCACACACACCTATGATCTAGCAGTGCCACATTCAGGTGTGTACCCATAAGGAACTCCAGTACAGGTGCCTAAGGAGGCAGGACGAGATAAGTCATGCTACACTCAGTAGCACTACAGTAAACAGTGTAAATATGGAAACAAATGTGGGACCAGCAAGTGGCGTGGTGGTTAAGGTGCTGGACACTCCCACATGGCTGACCATGGTTCGAGTATAGGACCTGGTGGCTTATTTTCTCACTTTCCCCCTCCCTCTCTTTCTTTCTGTTTCTCTCTGGTCAAATTAAAATAAATAAATGAATAAATAAAAATTAAATAAATAATTTAAAAAGAGAAGAAGAAGGCAGAGCGGGCTGCTATCTGTACAAGTAAAGCTATTCTTTGGCGAAGTGATGCCCATGTCCATGGGCCAGTAGGTGGTATGGAGGTTAACATGGCTGGATCGCATATGCCATAGCTCAAGTCTCAAACCCAGCAGCTTGAAAATCAGGCTGTGTGTGTCTGTGTCTGTGTGTGTGTGTGTGCACACATGCGTGCACCCGTGCGCACATGCCCAAAATCCTGAGAGGAGAGGAGAGGAGAGGAAAAAGTATTGTAGCATGGCCAATCCCCTGGGGGTGATTTCTCACTTTCTGTCTCTCACGTGCCCTATAGTAAAACTAAAGAATAAAAATGGAAGAGATGCCCATGTCCATAGGTAAAAGTAATGTGCCTTCAGGTCAAGGAAAACTAACCCAGAGGACTGGGAAAGGGGGGACGGAGGGGACCAGTTTACATTGAAATAGGCTAGCTTCACAAACACTTTGTTTTTTTCTGTGTGAATTCATTGCTGGGTGACTTTTTTTTTGGGGGGGGGGAAAGGTTTTTGCTATAGGGTGCGTGCGCTCACCAGAACAGACAGAGAGAGAGACAGACAGAAAGCGAGAAATCACCCCCCAGGGGGGATGGCCACGCCGCAATCCCTTCTACCCCATTCTCCTCTCGGGATCTTGGGCACGCACACATGCCCGGCATGAGTTTTAAGCCACCGGATCCGGGACGCAAACCGTGGTCGACTACGAGGGAGTCCAGCGACATAGCCATTACGCTAACTGCTGGTCCCTCGTTGCTGTGTGACTTTTCAGGGTAGAAGTTTAATTGATCATTGACTTTCCTAGTTAAGAGAACCAGGTAGAATTGTCAGGAAAACCTGCATTTATTTATTTACTTATTTATGGTAAAGTTTGTTTAGTTACTGCTTCCATTCGCAAACAAGAGACAGAGGCAGACACAGAAGGCATCTCCAGCAGGGTCTCACATGACTGGCCTACTCAGAAAGGTCTCCAGGCTCGAACCTGGAACTCCTACGTGGGTTAGCCTCACAGAGAATTGCATTTTACCCCTGGGCTGCTGTCAAATCCCTAAAACTCGCCATTTATTTGCTTTATTTTTTCAGTGTGTGAATTCTCATCGAATTATAATCATTGTACAAATTCGTGGGATATGTCATGGTTGTTCAAAGCATGCATATGGTGTGTGAACATTACATTGTGCACATTCAATAATAACTCAAATTTGTGTTTTTTGGAAGTATGTATTGAATTGTCAAAACATTTTTAATCTGCTGTGGTCCACCAATTCGAATCTACCTTTTAAAACGCCGACAGGTGGCGTGGTAGTTAAGGGTGCTGGACTCCCACATAGCTGACCATGGTTCGAGTCCCAGACCTTGGCGGCTTGCTTTCTCACTTTCCTTCTCTCTCTCTTTTCTCTCTCTCACTCTGTTCCTCTCTGGCCAAATTGAGATAAGTAAATAAATAAAGTTAAAATGAAAAAAAAAATCATTACCAAAAAAGTCTGTATACATTGGGGCCAGCAGATGACATAGCGGTTATGTTGCTGGACTCTCACATATGACCATGGTTTGAGTCCTGGAGCTGGTGACTTGAAACTCATGCCAAGTGCATGTGCATGAATGCCCAAGATCTCAGGAGGAGAGTGAAGGAAAATTGATTGTGGTGTGGCCATCCCCCAAGGTAGGGGGGTGATTTCTTGCTTTCTGTCTCTGTTTCTCTCTGTTCCTCCAGTGAGTGCATGCTCCCTAAAGCAAAAAACGTCTAAAATTTTTTTCTTAAGTTAAAAGTAAAAATATATATATTGACCACACTTCAAGCCCCAGACCTGGTGGCTTAAGGGTCACACTGGGTGTGTGTGGATGCATATCCAGGGTCCTGAGAGGAGAATGGAGAAGGGACTATGGTGTGATCATCCCCCCTGGGGAGTTATTTTCACTTTTCCTCTGTCCTCTCTCTGGCAAGTGGACACGTCCTATAGTGAAAACTAAAAAAGGAAAAAGAAAAACAGAAACAAAAAAGGTATATGTCTTGTTAACTGAGCTGTTTATGCAAGAGCCAGTTTGACACAGTGGAAAAAGGAGAAAGCTGGGATTCAAAAACACCTGGGTTGTAGGCTCACTCCTATTTATGGGACTGAGATTTATTCTGTCTGGGTCTCAGTTTCCTCATCTGCACAGAACTGGAGCTGGACCTAACTCTGGAGGCTTGAGGACACTGTTAGATACTGTCCCCAGCTGCCTGATGCTTTCACTGGGAAGTCTCAGGTGGTGGTAGCCTTTGACACCACTTTTTTTTTTTTTTTAAATTGGAACGGAGTGGCCAATGGCCTGAGGAGCAACATGCCTAAGTTATATTGTGACTACTGTGATACATACCTCACCCACGATTTTCCATCCATGAGAAAAACACTGCAGTGATAGGAAACACAAAGAGAATGTGAAAGACTGCCATCAGAAGTGAATGGAAGAGCAGGCTCAGAGCCTGATTGACAAAACCGCTGCCTTTCAACAGGGGAAGATACCTCCTACTCCATTCTCTGCTCCTCCTCCTGCAGAGGCGTTGGTCCCACCTCCCCCCAGTCTCCCGAAGTCCTCCTTGCCCTGGCATGATGCCAGCACCCCATATGGGGGGCCCTCCTCCTCCTGGGATGATGCCAGTAGGACCTGCTCATGGAATGAGGCCACCCATGGGAAGCCACATGCCCATGATGCCTGGGCCCCTCAGTGATGAGATCTCCTGCCCAGCCCATGATGGTGCCCACTCGGCCAGGAATGACTCAGCCAGACAGATAAGGATGAAGGAAGGCTTCTTTATCTCATTTTTTTAAAAATGAATTATTTTATTTAACTTTATTTATTTTAATTTGACTATAGACACAGAGAGAGAGAGAAAGCAAGCCACCAGGTCTGGGACTCAAACCCAGGTCAGCCAGGTGGGAGTCTAGCACCCCAACCACCATGCCACCTGCTGGCCCCCTTTATGTCAGTTTTATAATAACTTGTTCTATTTCGCCAGGCGATCATGGTGCTGTGTGACTCTGGGTGTTTTCTAACATCATGTCAAGGAAGACTTTCACCCTCTTCCTACAAAAAAAATTAAAAATAAAAAAAATAAAAGTAAGAGTAGTTTTGGAGGAGAGAAATAAGGCAAAAACGTGCAGTTTTCATTTGTATTGTTAAATGTGAAAATAAAATTGTCAATTGTTAAAATAATTTCTTTAACTTTATTTATTAATTTAAATTTGACTAGAAAGGGAGAGAGCAGGAGAGAGCAGGAGAGAGCAAGAGAGAGCGCAAGAGCAAGCCGCCAGATCTGGGACTCGAATCATAGTCAGTTATATGGGAATCCAGCATCCTTAACGACCACACCACCTGCCATCCCCCTCTTTGGCACCTCTCAAATAATGGCTGTGGCTAATCTCTCTTTTCAGTGTCAAGGGTATCTAGCATGAGTTAGTATTTTTTGTTTCCTTGTGTTTATTTTTACAGTTCCCTTGTATATGTAAGTGATACTGATTTTCTATTTGCAGCTTAAGAGTGGTATCAGATCTCCCTTTAAAATATGTTTAAATAAATAAAAAAACTTGACTCGAAAAGAAATATTATGTAATAGTGCAGGCGGTGCTGAACTAAGGATTTATTGTAAATTTGGGAGAAGGTGGCCCACGCACAATGCCCATCGCAAGTCAGCCGGCCTCTGGATTAGGCTTCCACATTTTCCGGATTTCCCTCTCCCTCCAGACAGAAGGGGATAAGAGGCGTGGTCACCCAGCAGCTCCGCCCCCAGATGGCCCCGCCCCGCCCGAACCCCTCCCCTGCGCGCTCTGACGCCCTCGGTCCCGCCCCCTCGGGTTCCTCCTTCCCGGCCGCCGTTGCGCGACGCTCAGCAGTAGCAAGATGGCGGCGCAGCATCCGGGCCGCGACGGCGGTGCGCAGCTGGCAGGGGCCGCGACAGAGGCCGACCCGCTGGGCCGCTTCACGTGCCCCGTGTGCCTGGAGGTGTACGAGAAGCCGGGGCAGGTGCCCTGCGGGCACGGGTAAGCGGCGGGCTCGC